TATGGGTATGACGAATATAACGAGTGCGGGTCTGAATCTGAATGGGTCTGGGTACGAGCGAGTCTGCAAACGAGTGAATATGAGGGTGGGTGGGTCTGAGTGCGGGTGATTCTGAGCGTGTAAGTTGAATGTGAATGAGCCTGAGTATGAGTATGATGAGTATGAGTATAAGTCTGAATGGGTTTGAACACGAGCGAGTATGACTACGAGTGAGTCTGAGGGCGGGTGGGTCTACATGCTCGTGAGCCTGAGCGTGCGTAAGTACGAGTGTGAGTGGGCCAGATGATGAGTACGATGAGTACGAGTCGGAGTATGGGTAAGTCTGAGCACTAGTGGATTTGAGCATAAGTAAGTTTGTCGCATCCTCGCAGTTTAAGCCCCCTGGGTTGCGAAAATCCTGCGCTTCCTTCGCCCGAGACATCCTCAGAGTCTGTTTTGAACGCCGGCGAGCCTGGCCAACAAAACAAGCAAACCGGTCGAGACATCCTCACAATATATCCACGCCCCCAGAGGGGGGGGACCGAAACCCAGCGCCTTGCCCGAGGCATCCTGAAACTCTGCTCCGAAAGCGGACAATGTTGAGCACCGAAACAGGCAACCCGCTCGAGACATCCCCGCAAACTGGGCGCGAACGGAGGAGTGCAATACTCCCTGGCGGTTCCCCCTTGGGACTGCTGAAACCCGCGCCTCGCTCGAGACATCTTCAGAATCTGCTCCGCCAGCATCATCCTAATCACCATCATCACCACTACCATCAGCATCATCATACTCATCATACTCATCATCAGCATCATCATCATCATCATCATCATCATCATCATCACCAGCATCACCTTATCATCATTCATCACCTTATCCACCACCATCATTATCATCGCCATTGCAATCATCTAAGAAAATTTTAGATGAGGAAGAGGAGGAGAGGCAAAAGGTGTAGAGTGTTCTTTTTTGGCGCGGTCGGAGTAATGAGTACGAGTGGGCCTGACAATGCGTAAGTCAGAGTATGATCGAGTCTGGGCGAGAGTGGTCTGAGTGTGAGTAAGTTTGGGTGTGAGTGGGTCCGAGTGTGAACCTAATAATGAGTACGAGTCTGAGTCTGAATGGGTCTGAGTACGAGTGAGTCTGACTACGAGTGAATGGGTGGGTCTGAGCGCGAGTGATTCTGAGTGTGTGTAAGCCTTAATGTGAGTGAGTCTGCGTATGATTATGATGAGTAGAAGTCTGAGTCTGAGTGGGTATGAACACGAGTGAGTCTGACTACGACTGAGTCTGAGGGTGGCCGGATCTAAGTGTGACTGAGTCTGAGTGTGTGACAATCTGAGCGTGAGCGGATTTGAGTACGAGTTTGATGAGTACGAGTCTGGGACGTCCTCACAATCCGGCCCCCCTTGGGGTGTCGAAACCAGCGCCTCGCCAGAGGCATCCTCAGAACTTGCTTTGAACGCAGACGAGTGTGGCCAGCAAAACAAGCAAATTGTCCGAGATATCCCCTCACTCTGCGCCCCCAGCGTTGCGAAAACCAGCGCGTCGGCCGATACATCCTCAGAATCTGCTCCGAAAGCGGAGGATGTTGCGGTAACAGGCAAATCATTAGAGACATCCCTGCAATCTGGGCGCGAATGGAGGAGTGCAATACCCCCTGGCTGTTCCCCCTTGGGGGCGAAAACCACCGCCTCGCTCGAGACATCCTCAACATTTGCTCCGAAAACGAAGTGTGCTGCAGCAGCAAACAGGCAACCTGCTCGAGACATCCCAGCCATTTTGGCGCGAACGGAGGAGTGCAATACTCCCTGGAGTCACCCCCCTCTTAGGGGTGCTGAAATCCGCGCCTCGCTCGAGGCAGCATCCGAATCTGTTCCGCCATCATCATATCCGCAGCATCACCGTCATCATCACCATCAGCATCATCACCACCATCATCACAACATAACGTTGCATAAACTAGCGTAAGTAATTAATCACTGCGTGGAGCTTCTATATTTGCACCTATTAGCATGGACCTGTCCGCCGTGAGTGCCTAGGCGCAAGAGTTTTTCTAATATAAGCGGACTTGGATATTGACGATCTGGGAGCGAATCCAATTGTGAATGAGCTGGAGTGTGAATGAATCTCAGTAGTATTAGTGCGTCTCTGCGCATGAGCCTGGGGCCCTCTGGGGCCTCCTGAAACCTCCTGGGGGTTCCTGAGGCCTCCCGGGGCCTCGTGTGGCCTCCTGGGGCATTTGGGGGCTTCGTATCCTGGGGAGGATTCGTGCCCCAGGAAAGGCCCAATCGATAGGAACATGCGTACACAAAACATTGCGAATTGGAGCCGTAGGAGGAGGGGAATCTATAGGAACACGCGTAACACCAAGGACTCGTGCCCCAGGGTAGGCCTAATCAATAGGAGCGTACGTAAAACATTCAGCATGATTGTATACACAGGAGAAGGACAATATATAGAAACCTATGTAAAACACCAAGTGTTCGTGCTCCAGAGCAGGCACAATCTATAGCAGCATACGTACAACACAATTGGAGCCGCTCCTGTGGCCTTATGCTCCTGGGGTCTCTTGGGGCCTCTTGGGGCCTCTTGGGGCCTCCTGGTGCCTTCCGATGCCTCCTGGTGCCTCCTGGCGCTTCCTGTGGCCTCCGGGGGCCTCCTGTGGCTTTCTGTGGCCTCCTGGATCATACAGGAGCCTCTTGAGGCGTTCTGGAGCTTCCTGGGGCCTCCTGGAGCCTCTTGGGGCATCCTGTGGCCTCTTGAGTCTTCCTGTGGCCTCCTGGGCCTCTTTGAGCCTGCTGGAGCCTCCTGTGGCATCCTGGGGGGGATCCGTGCCAATGAGCTTGGCCATCAAAACAGGCAAACCGATCGAGACATCCTCAAGATCTGGCCCCACTTGGGGGCGAAAATGAACGCCTCGCTCCAGATATTCTCTTAATCTGCTCAGAAAGCGGAGGATGCTGAGCTCGTAAGCAAGCATCCCGCTAGAGACATCCCCGCCATTTTGGCGCGAACGGAGGGATGCAATATCCCCTGGCGGCTCCTCCTTGGGGGTGCTGAAACCTGCGCCTCGCTCGAGACATCCTCGAGTCTGGCCACCCAAACAGGCAAACCGATCGAGACTGCCTCAAGATCTGTCGAGACATCCCCGCCATTCTGGCGCGAACGGAGGAATGCAATACCCCCTCCCCTGGCGGCTCCTTCTTGGGGGTGCTGAAACCCGCGCCGCGCTCGAGACATCCTCGAGTCTGGCCACCAAACCAGGCAAATCGATTTTGAGATACCCTGAAAGCCTGGCCCCATTTGGGGGCGAAAATGAACGCCTCGCTCGAGACATTCTCCAAATCTGCTCAGAAAGCGGAGAATGTTGAGCTGGTAAACGGGCAAACCATCATCATCGTCATTATCATATATGGATATCATTCGGCATTTTCGTATTCTGAGTGTAGCATCGTATTCTGAGTGGGATGGGGAAGAGAGAGGAGAGGAGGAGGAGGAGGAGGAGGAAGGAGGAGGTCTTCGCGGTCAAAGTAATAATCATTCACTGCGTGTAGCTCCCCATTTGCGCATCTATTAACAGGAACTGCCCGCCGTCAGTGTCTAGGCGCAAGAGCTTTCGAATATAAACGGGCTTGGGTATTGACGGTCTGGGGGTGAATCTAATTTTGAATGGGCTGGGGTGTGAATGAGTCCCGGTGGTATCAGTGCGTCTCTGCGCATGAGCCTGGGGCCTTTTGGAGCCTGTTGAAACTTCCTGGGGCTTCCTGGGGCCTCCTGCAGTCTCTTAGGGCCTCCTGGGGCCTCTTGGTGATTCCTGTGGCCTCCTGAAGCCTCCTGGGACCTCGTGTGGCCTCCTGGAGCTTCCAGGTGCCTCGGGGGGCCTCCTGGGGCCTCCTGGGGAGGATTCGTGCCCCAGGAGAGGCCCAATCTATAGGAACATATGCAAACAACTTCGGATTAGAGCCACGGGAGAGGGGCAATCTATAGGAACACATGTAAGACACCACCAAGGGCTCGTGCCCCGGGGGAGGCCCAATCTATATGAACACGGGTAAAACACTTAGGAGTGGATATGCGGGAGAAGGACACTATATAGAAACATTTGTAAACACACATGATTCGTGTTCCTGGGGCCTCGTGGGCGCTCCTGGGGCCTTCCTGGTGCATCATGGTGCCTCCTAGCGTTCGCTGCTGCCTCCTGTTGCCTCCTGGGGCCTCCCAGTGCTTCCTGGAGCCTCCTGGAGCCTCTTGGAGCCTCCTGGGGCCGCCTGTGGCCTCCTTGGGCCTCCTGTGGCTTCCCTCCTGCAGCATCCTGATGCCTCCTGGAAGCTCCTGTGGCCTCCGGGGGCCTCCTGGAGCCTGCCGGAACCTCCTGTGGCATCCGAGGAGGATCCGTGCCCACGAGCCTGACCAGCAAAATTCGCAAACACATCGAAACATCGTCGCAGTCTGGGCCACCAGGAGTGCGAAAGCCAGCGCCTCGCTCGAGACATCCTCAGAATCTGCTCCGAAAGCGGAGGACGTCGGGAACCACAGGCATCCCGCTCGAGACATCCCCATCATTTTGGCGCGAACGGAGGAGTGCAACACCCCCTGGCGGCCCCCTCGGGAGCGAAAACCAACGCTTCACGCGGGACATCCTCAGAATATGTTCCGAAAGCGGATGGTGCTAGGCACCACAACAAGCACCCCAGTCGAGACATCCCCACCATTTTGGCGCGAACGGAGGAGTGCAATACCCCCTAGCGGCTCTCCCTTGGGGGTGGTGAAGCCCGCGCCTCGCTCGAGGCATCATTAGAAATTGTTATGCCACCATCATGCTCATCATTACCACCATGATCACCAGCATCATCATCATCGTCATCATCATGATCATCGTATTCATCATCATCATGTCCATGACCAGCACCATCACCATCACCACCATCATATCCACTTGTTTGTAACGTACTCGTCTGGGGGACATCTACCCGCATGAGCCGACGGACCAGGCGCTGCGAACTATCGCGCCCTTCGATATGATCGATCGACGCCGGCCAGCCAGTCGCGAGGGGTCCAAGCCAGTAGGCTTGGGAGTCTACGGCCGCGACTGGCAGATAACGACGGCTGAGCTCTCACTGGCGATGCGCTTCGCTATGGGGCGCTCGCTTGACGACATGATCAGGGACGGCCGGGCGACCTCGACGGCGGTGGCGGAACCCGAGGAGGAGGCGCCAGCTCTGCAGCCCCAGGCGAAACCCTCCGCATCGGTCTCGGCCTCGATGGAGATTCCGGGTGAGTGGGCGCACGGGCGCGGGAAGCTTCCCGACGCTTCCCCGCCCCATTGGCGCAACCTGGCCACCAGCGACGGCCTCGGCGAGGGCGCGGTAGACGAGACGGACTTCGACACTTTCGCGATCTGTTCGGGGCTCGGCCTCGCCAAGGCGGGGGTCGGAGCACGCTGGCGCGCGCGCTGCCGCCCGACTGCGGAGATGAGCTCGACGCTCGAGTGCTGGCATTCTGCTCCACCCTCACCAGCGTTTTATCAGCATGCGTGAGGCCGTCAGTGAGTTGACCGAGAGCCCCTGGGACTCTTCCCCCGTCAGCGGGCCCAAGGCCGTCAAGTGGGCCTGCGAGTTCGCGAGAAAGAGCGACGCTGCGTTCCGCTCGCGCCATGCGAAGTTCACGGCTGGAGACGGGGCTCGCCAGCGTCGATCAGGATGCTTCGGTCCATGAGCTCTGCTGTCGCATGATGCACCTGCTGCTCACCTTCGCCCAGCTCAATGCGAGCGAGCTGGCCGGCGCGGAGCTGGCGCGCCGCCGCCTCCAGATGGCCGAGCACCGCCGTCGCGACCGAGCGCTGACGACGTCGCGGGGCGATGAGCTGTCGAGGGGCCCCCATCTGCACCCTGGGACGGGCGGGGCGCGCGGGCAGGCGCGCGTCGCGCCAGCCCTCCTCGCGCTCGCGACCGACGAGCGGCGCGCGGAGGGCGCCGTGCTCAGGGGGCGCAGGAAGTCAAAGGAGGAGCGCTTCGAGCCCCGGGGCGACAGCCTCGCGAGTGGCGGGGCTGACCAGCCCCGCTCGTCGAGCACGCAGAGCACCGCGGATAGGCCCGAAGGCGGAGATCGAGAAGCTGAAGAAGCAGCTGACTGCCGCGCCGACGGGCAACCCGAAAGGGGGGCGGCCAAGGCGCGGATGCCAACGGGGGCGGGGGGCGAGCCCCCAAGTCCATGTCTTCCGCGGCTGTCCAGCGGGGCGCGTTACCGATCCCCCCCGACCTAGCGACTGCGCACTTCGCGCGGCGCAACCACACTGCGCGCTTTTCATATTCGCGCAGGCGTCGGAGCCGAGGACGTCGGCAGCCGAGTGTCGAGCTGCGGTCTTGCGAGGCGCTGCCGGCGCTCAACTTCCTCAGCGGGCGGGCGGGCGGCGACGGCTTCGACGAGCTCTCGGCGGCCCAGGTCGCTGGCCTCGATTCGCTGCGCGACTGCCTCGAGTCCTTCGACCCCCCGACGTCAGCCCCGCGGAGGCTCATACAGAGCTGCGCGGCGCGTTCCCGGGCGCGATCAGCACCCGACGGGGGCGTCGCGGCGCCCTGTTCGGATTCCAGGATGTGCGGGCCAGCCAACTTGTTTTCGGAGTCCGTGCGTGACTTGTGGCAGAACTGGGACCGGCATCTCTTGCGCCCTCGTGATGAGTGGCGTGCTGATGTACATCCGCATGTCGATTCCAGGCTGAAGAATTCGCCGACCTTGCGCGCCAAGTTCTTGCATGACCTGCACCGAGCTGACATGCTTCATTACACCTCAGAGCGCAAGCGCGCAATGGCGCCGGCCTTCGTCGGCATGCGGGACGGGGGCGGCAAGCGGCGCATGACCTAGGACACCGCCGAGATGCCGACTGCGGGAAGCCGGCAGTCTTCGCGCGGCCCCCGACAGCTAGCTGCATCTCGGCCAGCGCGACATCAAGGCGGCCTTCTGTCGGTTCCTTGCGCCTCCTGGTCTCAGTGAGCTAAAGGTCCTTCCTAGCGTCGATCGAGCCGCCTGCCCCAGGGCGTGCTCGACCAGATTGTTTCACGCAAGTGTTCTCCGCGTCTCAACGCGCTCCCCATGGGGTGAAATTGGGGTTTCTCTTTCTGCCGGCACGCCGTCGATGGGAATGCTCAAGACGGTCGGTTTCAGCGACGCCTGGATCATGCTCGACAGGAGGGTGATGCCCAACCTCGACGCGGAGCCCGTCGCCGCCGCCCACGCCGACGGCGCGGCGATCATCGGCTCCAAGTAGACGAGGTGGCGCCGCAGCTCGAGTCGGTCCACGGCGCGCTCCACGACGCGGGCCTCATGCAAGTGCAAGGAGCTCGAGCTGCCGGGCAAGGAGCAGATGTTCCCCGGGTTGATCTTCGATCGTGAGCGCGGGCGCATCTCGCTCGGGCGCTCCTGGACGTGGAAGATCCGCCGGGCGCTGCTCTGTCAGGCTTCGCAGCGTTGCGATTCGGGCTCCGAGCTGGCGAGTTTCGTCGGTCACTTCAACTGGGCGGCTCTCTTACGCCGGCCTATGTTGTGTATCTTCCAATCTGCGCGTCGATTCATCGAGCGAGCGGGTGAGCGCCGCTGGCGACTCTGGCCCGAGGTGGCCCGCGAGCTGCGCGCAGCCGCAGCTCTAGCACCCGTCGCCCATTACGACGCACAGCGGCCCAGCGACGGCATGGTCTACTCCGCCAATGCCAGCGCGGGCGACCTGGGCTCATTCGGGGGCCTGTCCGGCGGCTACGGCGGCGTGGCCGAGCGGGAGCTGGGCGCCACGTCGGCGCTGGAGGCCGCTCAGGGTCGAGGGGGTCGAGGGGGTGATCGAGGGGGCCATCGACGCCGGGGGCTTCGCTCTCGCGCGCGGCAAGCTCGACGTGGAGGGTGGCGCGCCTGAAGGCGGCGCTGGACCTCATGGGCCTTCGGCCACGACGGCGGCGGCATCAGCCACCGCGCCGGCCACGCCTGGCCCTGGCCCAGCGCCCCTCGGCGACGCGACGGCCGACCGCGCCGACGCGCGCAGTTTCGCGACGGCGCCGTCGGATATCATGCCCCCTATGATCAGAAAGGGAAAACACACAGACACAATTAATCGTCGATTTCAAGAAATATATGAAAATATGGGCAGTGGGGGGGGAGACAGAAACTTAGAAAAGATTGAAAATATGGGAAACCGTTTTATTTGTGCATTTATTTGTGTGTCCCAGGGCCCCCGGATATGAGCTCGCGGTGGAGCGCGGCCTTCGGCCGATAGGCTCGCGAGGGGAACGTCCTGAGGCTGGGGGGTCGTGCGTTGTTTCTCAGTGTCCGCCACGAGCTGCGCGCTCTGCGCACGAGAAGCCAGTTGCATTTGATGTCGAAAGACAACTTATCTCTACCGCTGGGAATCGAAAAGGGCCGCTCAGCCTCGCCTTTGATCAACCAGACGTGTCGTGACTTGTGCAACTGCAGCATCGCGCGCAATATCTCTGCAGCTGTCCGTCGGCTGCCGTCGGAATCGGAGGCCTTCGACAAGGGCTCTCCGCCGTCACCTCGGGCCCCGAACTTTTCGCTTCAGACCCGCGCAATGCCGGCGCGGCTTGGCACCGTCTCTCGAGGGGGGCTGCTGTCAAGAAGGCCAGGCGAGACAAGTGCGATCACCCCCTCGGCTTCCTCCGACGACGACCCCGCGACCTCTGCGACCCCGAAGAAGAAGTCGCTTGGCGGCCAGAGCTTTCGCGCCAGATGACCAACCGAGCCAGTCTGAGGCGGCAGAAGTTCGGCGTCGCCAAGTCCGACCTTCGATCAATGGGGGCTGACCTTCTCGCGGAGGCACCAGGTGCGCACGGCCGCCGTCAGCAGTTTCGACGCGCGCGCGCCAGGCTTCCTCGAGCGGGCGCAGCTGCCATCGCTGAACGACGCAGGGGTCAGCCGCCTCGACACACACCTGGCGGCCCACTTGGACAAGCTATTCCGGGGCGGCGAGCTGGAGACAGGCTCGCGGCCACTGGCCTCGGAGCAGCGCGGATTACCGCGCTTGCCAAGGCCCAAGCACGGAGGGCTGCCGAGCGCACTCGAGGAGCACCACGATGATGCCCTTCGGCAAGCCCATCGCGCGGGCGACGATCGGCATCGCGGCGCTGGAGGGCGACTACGTCGAGCGGGCAGGAGCGACGGCGCCAGCGCGGGGCGGCGCGATCCGCCCCCCGAGCGACCTCCCGAACATGACGACCTCAGCGCCGGCGGGGCCAAGTCGCGGGGGTGCCCCGCGATGGGCTTTGAAGCTGCGCCCGATGGAAGGCTCAACCCAGAGCAGGGCGCTCGGCCAGGGCGAGGGGGCGCCGCTGCGAGCGGAGGCCCGGCGCGGCGGCGGAAGCGCGCCCCCCGAGCGCACCCGCGCCGCTCGGCCTGCTGGCGCGCCGCTCTGGTCGTTCAACGCCGCGACGTTCAATCGCCAGTTTCGTCGTCGACTGTCGCTGGTGCCAGGAGCTCCCGACGCGATCCCCTACCCGCTGCGCCAGGCGGCCGCGCCCCACGTCGCCGCCGTGGAGCCCGTGAGCCCCCGGGAGCTGCAGGCGCGGCTGCGACGCACCGGCGCCCAGGGCACGGCCAGGCTGTCGAGGCGCGCCCGCTGCGTCGCCGAGCGCGAGAAGTTCGACGAGCGCGCGACGGCGCGGCCCGAGACGGTCGAGAGCGAGATCGGCCGCGTCCTCGGCGAGCAGGTCCGCCCCCAGATGCCGACCTTCGCGAGGGAGAGCGACCTGGCGTTCGCGCGGCCCTTCGCGGACTCGCCCGCGCCTGCCGCCAGGCGCCTGGGCAAGCGCTGCTCGAGGTGGGTTTCGGAGCGGGAGGGTTACTAGAGCCGGCGACTTCGCCGGCGCTGGCCACAGCTTTGGGATGAACGGTTCGTCGTTGGTTGACGCCACCGTGTTCCGCCGTCTCGCGAGCTGGATCTCACCCCACGCATCCGCGGGTGGCCCTCACATGGCCCAGATTCGGAGAGCAAGACTGCAGCGCAGCCTTTGCCCACCTCGCCCGTAAGTGTCCGAGCGTAGCCTGTCCTTGCCCCACAGCGGCCCTTGACGACGTCGCTCGCGCGCAATCCGCTACTCATGGCCGGCTAACGAACGCGTTTGACGGGAGACGTTGTTTAGCGTTGCCCTGTGCGTTCGGCCAGGCTCGAGCGAATCATCATAACTTCTGGGCCCTCGTCGACGGCGGCCCTTGCAGGCGCGCCGCGGCCGAGCCCCCGCGCGCGATTCCCTATGCGCACTTGTTGTCGCGGCTCGCCCAATGGTTCCGCTCGTGGGGCCGCTGAGAGTTTTTACAGCAAGCTGCTTTTGACATTGAGCGGCCACAGGTAGAGGCAAGGCAGGGTCGTCGCGCGCGGTCCTGGGCACCGCTCATCATATACGAAGCCCGAGCTTGCCCGCAACATATATGTCTCTGAACAGCTGCGCTGTAAAGAGTTCTGGCCATCAGGGGAACATCAGATTGATCCAGTTGTTTGCGACATAGTGGCCCGATCCGTTTCATGGCCGTTCTTCCTCCGCAACCATTCAAGCATACCCTTCCGCGTACCACCCTGTGCTTGATTAAGGTCCATCGCTCCAAGATGGGGTCGTCGCGTGCGGTTTTGACACCGCTCAGTATATACGATGTTCATGCTTGCTCACAACAAACATGTCTCTGAACAGCTGCGCTGTAAAGAGTTCTGGCCAGCACGGGGACATCATACCTCGCTATCACCGCCGCATGGCATTACACGCGTAACATAACATAACACATCATCGCATGACACACCAAACCACACCATATCATACCACACCCTAGCAGCCCCATAAGTTTAATAGACACCTTACCATCATCACCAACTAATACAGCATGCCATATTATGCAATCTCATACCAGAACTTGGTGTTTCAAACCGAAATATAACAAGTGACGCGCGTGCCCTGGCTCTTGCACAAAGGAGCTGCGGTTCAGGCTTAGGGGGGGGGCCGAGGGGGACGAACAACGACGAACCACGAACCACGACGAAAATAAGGATGTCCGCGGCCCAGGGGGGGCTGCCGTGGGAAGCCTGGGCGGAGGGGGGGTCCCAAGAGGGGGTGGCCCAGGGGAGGGCGAACCACGACGAAAATAAGGATGTCCGCGGCCCAGGGGGGCTGGCCTGGGAAGCCTGGGCGGAAGGGGGGGTCCCAAGGGGGGGTGGCCCAGGGGAGCTGGGGTTCAGGCTCAAGGGGAGGGGGGGGGGCGAGGGGGACAAACCATGACGAATCACGAACCACGATCCCAAGGGGAGGTGGCCCTGGGGAGCTGGGGCTCAGGCTCAGGGGGGGGGGGGGGGAGGCCGAGGGGGACCCACCACGACGAACCACGAACCACGACGAACATAAGGATGTCCGCGACCCAGGTGGGCTGCCCGGGGAAACCTTGGCGGAAGGGGGGTCCCAAGGGGGGGTGGCCCAGGGGAGCTGCGGCTCAGGCTCAGGGGAGGGGCCAAGGGGGACGAACCACCACGAACCACGAACCACGACGAAAATGAAGATGTCCGAGCTCTAGAGCACAGCTGTGCAAGATAACATACCATAACGCGACATAACATACCATTACACACCATATCATAACAACACATACAACAACATTATACATTACATTGTTACATACCACAACATGTCATACCAGAACGTATCATGCTCATCAGAGCACAATATATCATACATCAAAATAACAGGGTAAGGAGGAATGGGTGAGGGAATTGGCGCGGCCGGAGTAACATCAAACACTTCATCTGTTGGATATGGCGAACTACAAGATCCTTGGCTTAGGTGTTGCGGATAGTATAACTTACCATAACATCACATACCACAGCATGGAAACATCAGAACATATTATGACATACCTACCAGATCGTATAATGTCATACCATTAGATAGCAGCATATAACATACCATATCATAACAAGCACTACCAGCACATAAGGTATGAGTGTGGCTTTGGGTGGGGAGGAGGATGAGGAGGGACGCGAGTGGGGCGAGTCGGCGCGATTCGAGTGACAACAAGAACCCAATCTTTTGGATATGGAGAATAACAAGAACCTCAGTTTTTTATATGGGAAGATAACATTACATACCATAGCGTAACATAACATTGCATGGGATCGCAGTTCTGGCTGAGGAAGAGGAGGAGGAGAAGGAGGAGGAGGAGGAGAGGAGGAAGGAGACGCGGGGCACCGTCTCTTCAAAACGAGGACCCAACACCACAGGATGGTTGGGAACAAGTCCCCGCTCCATTGGCCACGATTCTTTGGATTTCGAGGTTACGACCATTGGTAAAACAAATTACGGTCCGCGCGCCTGAAAATTTGACTCCGCTTAAAGAATAGAAGGGCCGCGCTGTCGTGGCTCTGGTCCTATGGAAAACGCCATGGGTCCACACGTCCACGGCCACAACCCATCGAGACAGCAATATCAGTCAGCGCAGGCTCCAAAGATATCAGAGGACTGACACGAACTGGACTGGAGTGGACTGATTTAGACTGAACTGAAAGTGCGCGGACTGGTCTGGGGCGGACTCGGCTCTTCTGTACTCTCAACTCTACCCTGCTGACTTTACTCTTGCCTCTAACCTGCGAGGCTGTCGAGGCATCCAGTGACCTCGCGAGGCTGTCGAGGCATCCAGCCGTCGTGGTCGACGAACCGGCGCGCCGCAGCGTACTGGCCCTCCTCCTCCTCCTCCTCCTCCTCCTCCTCCTCCTCCTCCTCCTCCTCATCCCTCCTCCCCCTCCGTGCCTTTGCTTTCCGCATGTCTCTGTTTCGGCACACCCCTCACACGTTTCGTGGCCCCATAGGGGGTTCCACCTAAGGTCCCACTGGCGCAGCCCGCATGGCGGCGCCGCCCCATTTTGACACACCCCTCACACGTTTCGTGGCCCCATAGGCAGCGAGCTTGAGTAATTTTGAATCACCACCTAGTTGTTTTCTGAGAGTTGGTGATTGAGCGAAAAGGAAAATATGTTGCCATGTTGCTGAGCCATTGACGATATATGCATCATTGCAAACTGCATCGCCTTGTTTATGAGAACTAAGCTGCTCATGTGCCGATGCCTACGCTGCGCAGCCTGGTGAGCCCCTACAAGGGGGGGACGGCGAATTACCCGCCTCCAGTATCGCTTTGGCCTTGTTTATCAGATGTTCGCTGAGCTTCTCCCAGAGGTCACTCAGCTTCCAAATGCAACAAGCACGTGGCAGGAGTGCGTCGCCTCGATGCAGTATTCCCACGTTGGCGGTCAGGGTTACGACAAGGGGGCTAGCCAGTCTTGGGCAGGCAAAATGATGGGATACACTGCGTATGGCAAGCCATCGCCGTTATTAGTGAAAGAGGCAAAGCGTATGTTTGAAAGCTCCAATGGCATGTGGCACCAACTCCGATCAACTGACGCCATTTTCTTTAATTCAAGCCTTCCAGCCTTCGCATGCAAGTCTGTTGATAACCAGCGCAACTTGGCTGCCTCAGTACAGCATGCCTTTAACGAGCTCATCAGCAACCTAGTGAAGGTATTTGTGGCACACGTTGGCCATCGGAATATTGATGGCGTCGTCTTGTCAGGCGGTTGTGCACTCAACGTCCTCGCAAACCAGCGGGTACACGAGGAGCTCCCAAGCCCGCTGAGCGTCTTTGTTCCGCCAGCTCCGAACGATGCGGGCCTCGCCGTAGGTGGTCTGATGTCGTTTTGGCCGCCAGCTGCCCGGCAGCCCCTGCAGTATCTTGGCTTCCCCCTGTGGGACGGCGGCACCCTCGATTCTCTTGCGCGGAGCTGGGAAGCCCAGAGGTTGTCTTCGCTCGGAGGCGTTGAGCACCTCGCCGAGTTGCTGGCCGGTGGAAGCGCATGGCTGCGAGAGCCCAATCGCACCCACGACCATCCCATCATCGCCGTGGTGGGCGGCCGACAGGAGTTCGGTCCCCGTGCTCTGGGGCACCGGTCGCTGCTCGCTGTTCCCAGGACTGGGATGAAGGAGCGCATGAACAGGCTGAAGCATCGGGAATGGTACAGGCCGGTGGCTCCTATGATTGCGGCGGAGGACTTGTCAGAGGTCTTCGGGGGCGACGGTGCAGCCTCCGAATCCCCCTACATGAACATGGCGCCAGAGGTTCTCCCAGATATCAAGTCACGCTTCCCAGGGCTGGCGCACGCGGACGGCACTGCGCGACATCAGTCAGTGGGGAGGACAGACGAGCCTTGGCTTCACTCGCTGCTAGATGCTGTCGGCAAACGTATAGGCCTGAAAGCTTTGATCAACACTAGCTTCAATACACGTGGTAGGCCGATCGTCAACACCATTGAAGAGTGCCTCCAAATGCTTGCAGAAGAGTCAGAGCTTGACTTCGTCCTGATCGAGGATTGGTTGTTCCGGTCGATGCGTATTCGCCCCCGTCGCGGGCGCGGGTCCCGACAGGGGCTGCGACATTCGGCAAGAGATTGAAAACCCACATCGAGGTTTGATCATCGACGTGCTGATTCGCATTCGCATCCTTTCGCTTGCCTCATGCAGTCTTCGTACTCCGCATTCAGCCGCTGACTTGAGGGTGGCGGGTCACCCCCTCTCCCCCCTCTTTTCCTTTCTCCCTGCCCTCCCCCATAGGTAACCTTTACCAGTGAGTCAAAAGTCTCAACGGAGAGGTTGCATCAACAACGCAGTGCTTCATACGCAGTTCCCCAAGCAGGTTTTGCCTAATGGGGTTCTTGTAATGTACCCCGTCTCGCGTCGCCGCGGCGCTCAAGCTCTCACCGCCCAGGCCGGCCGGCAGATGCCGTGGTCGCAGCTTGCCGAGGTGCTGGCGCCGCTGAATGCGCCGCTGGCTACGGCGGCATCCGCAGCGGCCTCGACGCTGGCGGGCCATTCCACCTTTGGCCCGGGCCAGGGGCTGCTGGTGGGCCTCCTGCTGGCCGCCGTACTGGTGCTCGTCGGCGCCTGCTGCTTTTGCGCCGGTTGCTGGGCTGGCGGCTCGCTCGCCGTCGGGGTGACCGCCGGCGGCGCCGAGCGGTTGACGACGGTGGCGGAGTACGGCGTGCGCCGCGCCCTTGCTGCCCCGCGCGCCGCAGGCCGCCTCGCTCTCACTGCTCGGGCGCGCGGCCGCCCGGAAGGCTAACCTCAAGAAGTAATTAAGAGCCCCCTTGGGGTTATCAGTAGCACCGCACCGATGTCAATGGATTCCAGGGGGGACTTTCTAGCAGAACGATAATTTTAGCACCGCGCCAAACAGCAAAAACAAAGTTTCACGGATTGAGGGCGGCTCGATTTCAAAATGTGGTTCTCACCTTAGCGCCGCGCACATTTGCATTCAAATGTTGCAAGCGTTTCACGGATTGAGGGCGGTTCGTTTTCAAAATATGGTTCTCGCCTTAGCCACGACTGTCACGGATTGAGGGCGGCTGGTTTTCAGAATGTGGTTCTCGCCTTCGTAGCGCCGCGCACAGTCGTTTCAAACATTTGCACGAGTTTTACGGATTGAGGTCAGCTCCTTTTCAAAATGTGATTCTCGCTTTAGCGCCGCATTCTATGTAAGCAGTTGCAAGAGTTTCACGGATTGAGGGCGTCTCGTTTTCAAAATGTCGTTCTTGCTTTGGCGCCGCGCACATTCGTTTTAATTAGCTTGGCGATGGACCCAGACATATGCAGTGGCGAGTGACGCAGTTGTGAGCATCGTCGTCGGTGGAGATGCCTATGTGGCCACGAAACGTGTGGGGTGTGTGTGTGTGTGTGTGTGCCGAAATAATACCAGGGACGCATGCGAGCGGTGCCACTTGGACCTTCGATTGAGCTCCCCAAGGGGCCACGAAACGTGTGATGGGTGCACCGAAATGGAGGTGGAATTGCACGCGGACCCTGCCATTGGGGCCCTCGGTGGAGCACCCCATGGGGCCACGAAACGTGTGAGGGGTGCGCCAACATGGAGGTGGAAGTGCACGCGGACCCTGCCAGAACTGCATGCGGGCCCTGCCGCTGGGGCCTTCGGTGGAGTACCCTATGGGGTCACGAAACGTGTTGAGGGGTGCGCCGACATGGAGGTGGAATTGCATGCGGACCCTGCCACTGTGGCCTTCGATGGAGCTCCCTACGGTGCCACGAGCCGTGTGAGGGGTGCGCCGAAATGAAATTGGAATTGCCCGCGAACCCTGCCACTGAGACCTTCGGTGGAGCTCCCTATGGGGCCACGAAGCCTGTGAGGGGTGCGCTGAGATGAGGGTGGAACTGCATGCGAGCCCTGCCAATGTGGCCGTTGGTGGAGCTCCCCAGGGGACCACGAACTGTGTGAGAGGGGCTCCGAAATGGAGGCGGAACTGCATGCGAACCCTGCCGCTGGGGCCTTCGGTGGAGCACCCTATGGGGCCACGAAACGTGTTGAGGGGTGTGAAATTGCTTGCGGACCCTGCCACTGGGGCTTTCGGTGAAGCTCCCTATGGGGCCACGAAGCATGTGAGGGGTGCACCGAAATCGATGTGGAACTGCATGCGGGCCCTGCCACTGGAGCCTTCGGCGGAGCAATCAATGGGGCCACGACACGTGTGAGGGGTGTGCTGAAATGGAGGTGGAACTGCATGCGGAACCTGCCACTGGCGCCTTCGATGGAGCACCCTGGGGGGGCACGAAACGTGTTGAAAGGTGTGCCGACAGGGGCCGGAACTTCGTGCGGACCTTGCAACTGGGGCGACACGTGTGAGGAGTGCGCCGAAATGGAGGTAGAACTGCATGCGGACCTTGCCATTGGGGTCTTCGGTGAAGAACCCTATGGGGCCACGGAACGTGTGAGGGGTGCGCCGAAATGGAAGCGGAACTGCATGTAGACCTTGCCGCTGAGACCTTCGGTGGAGCACCCCAGGGGGCCACGAAGCGTGTGCGGGGTGCGCCAGAATGAAATTGGAACTGCGCGCGGACTCTGCAATTGGTGCCTTCGGTGGAGCACCCTATGCGGCCACGAAACGTGTGAGGGGTGCGCCGAAATGGGAGTGGAATTGCATGCGGACCCTGCCACTGGGGCCTTCGGTGGATCACCCTTGGGGCCACGAAGCGCGTGAGGGGTGCGCCGAAATTTCGGTGGAACTGCATGCACACATATGACGACGATTATAAGTGGGGGGCAGAGGCAAGGGATGGGAGGAGGGACGAGGGGGAGAAGGAAAGAGTAAGGCGCGGGGCGCTGTCTTTTCAAAACGAGGACCCAACACCACAGGACGGTCGGGAACAATGTGCAAGAGCTTCACGGATTGAGGGCGGCTCGTTTTCAAAACGTAGTTGTCGCCTTAGGGCCGCGAACACCATTCCCTACCTCGGCTCTGCCTAGAAGGGTTCTTACCTGGAAGCTTAAAGGGCCGGGCAGTGGGGCCCGCCCCAGGCGGTTCCCCCAGTATCCGCCCCGCGGTTCCCCCAGTTACGTTCCTTTAGCTTAGCGTTGCTTATATCATCTTAGCGTAACTTATTTCATGTTAGCATAGCTTAGGTTCATCTTAGCTCAGGTTTATCTTAGCTAGCTTACCTTCATCTTAGCTTCGCTGAGCTTTAGCATAGCATAGCACAGCATAGCATAGCATAGCGTAGCATAGCATAGCGCAGCATCGCATATCATAGACTGGATGTAAGATCAGATCAGCTTAGCTTAGCCTAGCCTAGCTTAACTTAGCTTAGCTGAGCTTAGCATAGCTTAGCATAGCTTAGCTTATCTTAGCTTAGCGCAGCGCAGCATAGCGCAGCGCAGCATTAGCACAGCATAGCATAGCATAGCTCAGCATAGCATAGCTCGGCATAGCATAGCATATCGTAGCTCAGCATATCATAGCACAGCATGGCATAGCGCAGTATAGCATAGCACAGCATAGCATTGTTTAGCATAGCACAGCGCAGCATAGCATAGCATAGCACAGCATATCATATCATATATGTAGGTGTAGATGTAGGTGTAGATGTAGATGTAGATGTGAGTCTCGCTGTTGATGTTGATGTAGATGTAGATGCAGGTGTAGATGTAACTGTAGCTGTCGGTGTAGATGTAGATGTTGCTTTCCTAAATGCTCCAACTCCTAGGTAGGGTCGCACTGGGATAATTTTGTAAATTAGCCTAGCGAAGGACCCAACCATATGCAGCTGCGAGTAGCATCAAATATCACCTTCTCATCATAGGCAGCGCGCCGCGAGAGGGATTGAGCACGGGGCAACGCGGTTGGAAAACCCCGAAACGTATGCGGGGTGTGCCGAAGTGGGCTGGGTGACTCATGCGAACCTTGCCGCTGGGGCCTTCGGCGGAGCCCCCTATGGGCCACGAAAAGTGTGAGGGGTGTGCCAACATAGGCAGAGAAAGGCATGCGAACCCTGCGGCTGGGACCTTCGGTTGAGCTCCATATGGGGCCGCGATGTGTATAAGGGGTGTGCATGGCGAACCTAACCGCTGAGGCCTGCAGCGGACCTCCCTATGAGGCCACGACGGGGTGTGTGCCGACATGTGGCGGGGCCGCCATGCGAACCTTGCCACTGGGGCCTTCGGTGGAGCTCCCCTATGGGGCCACGAAACGTGTGAGGAGTGTGCCGAAATTGTGCGGGGCCGCGATGCGAACCCTGCCACTGGGGCCTTCGGTGAAGCTCCCCATGGGGCCACGAACCGTGTGAGGGGTGCGCCGAAATGGAGCAGGGAACCTCATGCCAACTCTGCCATTGAGGCCTTCGGTGGGGCTCCCTGTGGGGCCATGAAACGTGTGAGGGGTGTGCCGACATTGGGCGGGGCCGCCATGCGAGCCCTGCCACTGGGGCCTTCGGTGGAGCTCTTTATGGGGCCACGAACCGTGTGAGGGGTGTGCCGAAATTGGGCAGGGAACCCCACGCGAACTTTGCCACTCAGGCCTTCGGTTGAGCTCCTTATGGGGGCCACAAAACGTGTGAGAGGTGCGAAATGACGGTGGTACTGCATGCGAACCTTGCTACTGTGGCCTTCGGCTCCCTACTGTGCCACGAGCCGTGTGAGGGGTGCGCTGAAATGAGGGTGGAACTGC